ACAGGTAGCTGCAAGTCCAGGGACATGGTGCGAGTGTGGAAGCTCGGCGGGCTCACGATGGAAGGGGCCAAAGACTCGTGGACCGCAATCGCGCATCTTTGCCAGGCCCCCGCTGGAGGCGACACGTGAACGACATAGCCATCGAAAGGCTGCTCGGCTCCACCAGCCACGCACCACTCTTGGAAAAGGATAGCGCGGGCATCAAAATCAGCACGCAGATCGTCGAGGAGTTGTTGCCGCCTCCTGGATCCACGGACGCCTCTCACATTCCACCCCAGAACTGCAAGGTCCCTGACGTCCCTGGCGAAGCGGCGACCCCTCGACTGGAATCACTGGGGCCTGGGCGGGTCATTGATTTCCCCGAGCCGCTCAGGGAGTTTGAACTCTGCAAGCTCCTGGTCCAGCAGCGCCTTGGCAGGCGGCTCGGTGCAGATCTCCATCAGATCCGTGGTGCGCGAGCGCTGCAGGATCCTGATCGGCCTCTCGTTCCCGTTGCGACGAAACACCACATGACCGCGATCCCAGTCACCGTCGAAGGTCTTCATCTTCGAGTCCGCTGTGCAGAGGTTCTTTGCTTCCCTGTACTCTCTGAGCAGCCTCACGGCGTAGGAGACACGCCTCGATAGCTCTACCTCGTGGGGCCTGGTCATTTTTGGCCCCCTAGCACGGTATCTTTCGCCCCTTCCAGGCCTTCATGAAGGTCCACATCTGCCAATTGCTCCCGAAAACCACTTTCGCCTGATCACATAATCGCCCAACACCGTAGATCTCTGCGATGCCCTGCGACTCGAGCGAAGCCCTCTCGCTCAACTTCGCTCGAAGGTGGGCCTCGACCTCATCCTTGTCCCACGTGCCAGGGAAGCCCGCCACGAAAACCACATGCTTCGTATTCTTTCCTCCGCGCGGGGCCTGGGGAGCGACGAACTGATGCTGGTCGCTGGAGCCGTGCTGGCTTTCGACGGCGGAGCACGCGAGGCTGCCTCCAGTGCGTCGAGTCGAGCGCGCTGGGCCCGCTGCTCTGCCTGGATGGACGAGATAGAGGCCGAGCTGGTGCTCACCGTGGTCTGCAAGGCCGCAACCTGGGCCTCCACGGCGTCCACCTTCACATTCATGCTAGTGGTCACCGCGCTGATGATATACTGGGCCAACGCCATCTGCGACGGATCCTGCGGGGGTGGCGGCAGCTTGGCGCGGCCTCCCGCTGGGGCAGCCAGGCCGGCCCCGCCAGCCGCAGCAGGCCCCGCCTCGGCGTCCGTCAACTCCTCGTCGTCCAGCTCCACGGCAGGGGGCTCGCCTGTCTTCTGGCGGATCCGACGGCCGTCGGCGTCAGCCCCCGCGCCGCTCGCGGCCGCAGCCGTGCCAAGAAGCGGGGGCATCGGCGCGAACATGTCTGCAGCAAAATGCGCGCTCCAAGTTCGTATGGTGAGAATGCGAGAATGCGAAAGACTCGGGCCAGGCGGCCGAGCCAAAAAAACGTCTCAGGTCGGCGGGCGCTCGACCAGGACTCGGAGGATGCCCGTCCTGCCAGGGTGCCGTCTTGAGCAAAAATGGATGACACTGATGATGATGATGATGATGACGATGATGATGATACTGATGATGATGATGATGATGATGATGGTGGTGATGATGATGATGATGATGATGATGATGATGATGATGATGATGATGATGATGATGATGGTGGTGCTGATGCTGATGATGATGACAATGCATGATGGATGATGGTGACGAATATGATCATGATGCTGATGATGATGGTAATGATGATGCTGCTGATGGTGGTGATGATGATGACGATGGTGATGATAATGATGGTGACGACGACGATGATGATACGAATCATGCTAGTACTAACAATAAGAAGCATACTACTGAGCACTATGGTTAACAATAGTAATAGTACGAATCATAACGTTATAATAACAATAATAATACCATCGATGATAGCAGTACAAATATTACACATAATAATAATAATGCTAATAATACTGATGATAATTGTGGTGATGATGAGGGTGATAGTGATGATGATGATGATGATGATGATGGTGGTGGTGGTGGTGATGATGATGATGATGATGCTGAGAAGGAGAAGGACATGGAGAAGGACAAGGAAAATGAGAAGGCCCATAATAACAAGAAGGAGGAGGAAGAGAACGAGAAGGAGCAGGAGGAGAAGGAGAAGGAGGAGGAGAAGGAGAAGGAGGAGGAGGAAGAGAGCGGCCAGGGCCTCGTGGGCGCTCGAGCCTGGCGCCCAGCGCCCGCGCGCGCGAGAGAGAGAGAGAGAGAGCGAGAGAGAGAGAGAGAGAGAGAGAGCGAGCACGAGCCGGGAGGCGGAGGTGGAGGGGGGGATGTTGGCGGCGCGCAGCGCACGAGGGGGCGGCGGCGGCGGAGGCGGCGACGCCGACCGAGCGCCTGCAGACCCCGCGGAGCTCCCGAGGGGGGGGGAACGCTGGCGGCGCGCACGCGGGCCGGCGCGAGGGGGGCCGTCTCCTGACAGGGCGGGGAGGAGGAGGAGGAGGAGGAGGAGGAGGAGGCGGAGGAGGAGGAGGAGGGAGGAGGAGAAGGAGGAGGGGGGGAAGAGAGGAGGAGGAGGAGGAAGAGGAGGAGGATGAGGATGAGGAGGAGGAGGAGGAGGAGGAGGAGGAGGAGGAGGAGGAGGGGAGGGGGGAGGGGAGGGGGAGGGAGAGGGGAAGGGTGAGGAGGAGGAGGAGGACGAGGAGGAGCAGCAGCAGCAGCAGAAGGAGGAGGGGAGGATGAGGAAGAGGAGGGGGGGGCCTCCTCAGAAGGGCCTGGGGGCTTCTCACACGGCGGCGAGGGCCTCGAAGGAGCCACACGCGTTCTGAGGCCGCCCCCCTCGCTCCACGCCCGTGTGCGCGCCGCCAAGGATCGGCGATCGACGCCGCCTCCTCCTCCTCCTCCTCCTCCTCCTCCTCCGCCTCCTCCTCCCTCCTCCTCCTCCTCCTCCTCCTCCTCCGCCTCCTCCGCCTCCGCCTCCGCCTCCTCCTCCTCCTCCTCCTCCTCCTCCTCCTCATCCTCTTCCTCCTCCTCCTCCTCTTCCTCCATCCTCCTCCTTCGATTCCAGATCGACGGGATGGGCGATGGACGTCTCACATCGGCGCTTTCGTCGGTTCTCGGCGGTGTCCCAGGACTCGGGATGCGTTCCAGCGGCTGCGCCTCGCCGAGAGGCGTCCTGGGGTGTGGGGATCGGCCCGAACGGCCGCGGGAGGCCCGACGTATGACTCGAAAAAAGCAGACACACCGGGGATCAGCGAGGGTGCAGGCTTTCTCCGAAGGCTGCAGGGCTTCTCAGAGGCCTTCCGACCCTCGGAGAAGCCCTCTGTGGCTTCGGAGACTCAGAGTTGGATGGCAACTCATGGGAGCCTCCTATACCATCTTGTCGGCTCTTGCGAATCGACGCTAGTCGACGCTAAATCG